TCTACTTTTGCCTAAATTAAAGTATCTAATAAATTAGAATAATAAATATTAATAATATATAATACATATATAATAATATTTTTAGGAACTTCGTAATTGTCTAAAACTATTTAATACTGCAACAGAAATTCTTTCAAAGTCTAACTATCCAACAATTGCTGATTTATGTCTTATTATTTCAGGTTTATTCAATCATCTTAATGCCTTTAATAGTGACTATCAAGATATGAATGCAGTAGTATCTAAAATTAGAGAAAAATTAGATGAATACTGGCCAATTATGCAAGAAGCGAATAAGATTGCTGCTTTTTTTGATCTACATTTTAAACAAATTGTTTATTCAGAAAATTCAGCAAATAAAATTTTGGCTTCAATCTGTGCAAATCTACCAGTAAACTCTGAATCTATAGTTCAACCTCCACATATCTCAAAGCGTATTCAATTTTTATAAGAATATAATAGAACATCTATGTTAACTACAACTTCTGACTTAGATGAACTTACTCAATATTGGGAAATAATTGCTCCACCTGAAGAAACTTCTGTTTGTGATTGGTGGAAAGCTAACCAAATAGCTTTTCTGAATTTAGCTACTATGGTAAAAGACTACCTAGCTATTATGTCTACTAGTATTCCATGTGAACAACTATTTAGTTTAGCTAGATTAACAGTTACTAAATTGCGAAACTCTCTTGATAATGAAACAGTTCGAGCTATTTTGTGTTTAAAATCTTGGTTTATTGAAGACTTACTATTCTAAATTTTAGTATTATAAATTTTTTTTCTGTTAGCAGGTTTTTTTATTTACATATTTAATTTTATGATGCTTATAAATACGTATAAAATTTTATATTATAACTTTTTATAACCTAAATTTTTTTTAACTTTATATCTAAACAATAGTGGTATACTTTATTTTTTACTTTTTATTTTCTTTATTAAATATATTTGGCTATAAATTTTTAAATATTTGAGAGAAATATTAAGACTTTCAATGTTACATCAATAAATATTTTTTACTATATAAAGAACACAAATAGTATTATTAATTTATTTTAATATCTTTATATATTGAAATAGTTTTGTCTTGAATTAGTATGTACAAGATTGAATATTTGACATTTTTAATTACAATCAAATTATCAATTAAGATAATAAATATAAAGCAAATTTAAAAACAATATTAAGCAGTTAAAAGTAACAAAATATCTTCTCAATTTTTACTATAATGTTCTTATTTAACAAAGTAAATTATAAAAATATAAATATTAATATTATAAATTTGAAAGCTTATTTATTATAAATATGTTGAAATTCTTATACAGATAAACTTATTTTCATCATTATAGCAAAAAATATTATATTGATTATCAGTCCATCTGATCCAGTCCTATTTGGTCCTAGACTGCAGTCTAGTCCAATTCTTTAAAAAACTGGTAGTCTTTTAACCAGGATGGGCCGAACAGACCGATTAACAGCCCTAATTATAACACTACTATAGCTACGACTTGACGTCAATCTGGATAATTGTTGTTACATGAAATTAAAAAGTTTGGTTATTCATGAAATGAAGATTTATCACTACAATTTAACAAATTATTCTCAATTTGATATTACAGATTTGTATTTAAATTCAATAAATCACCGAAATTTTAATTCTTACTAATTTACCAATATCAATTACTTGTACGTGTTAAAACAAATAAGATCACATGATGTCGCAGTATCAAAACAGTTTTATTATACAAATTGGTTTTGGGCTATTAATTAAAAGTGCTTAATTTTTTATGTATATATATCCTCTAACCCTGACCCTAATATTAGCTCTAACTCTAACCCTAATTAATAAAAAATCTATTTTTTTTTTAAAATATGTATAGACCTGTAACATCGCAACCTGCTAAATTTAACAAATTTATTTTAATTTACGTAAATTTTAGAAAATTAGATTTCATGTAATTTTCACATGTTATACATAAAGTACCAGATTTATAAAAGTTTTGGCCAGTATTATTTAATCATTTGATTTGAATATATGATTAGCACTATTTATTTTATTTTGTATTTTATCATCATTATTACATTTACATGTAACAGAAATTTTTATTGCGGCACAATAATAATTGATTTGATGCAGTTTATTTTGCTGGCAAGCCATCTACCTACATCATGCAGGTGATAATTTATTATTTTGCTAATTCCAGTCATATTTCGTTAGAGAATTTTTATGTGGTGATATTGTTTAGATGGCCTGTCTGGAAATTGATATGTAACCATTTTATGTAAGGATGTCAACTGATATTTTAAAATAATTAATAGTGTCTAGGTGCATTATCAGCAACTATTAAAAAAAGAATCCGTTTTTGTAGTTGACATCAAAACTCTTAAAAGATCAACTTGTTTTGATGATTATAAAAATGTATGAACCCTGACTTTAAAAAAGGCTGCTGTTTCTAAACATATAAAAATTTAATCAAAATAGAAAAATGTATAAAAAGACTCATGATGAAAAAAAAGGAATGTGGAATCCTGACATCTAAATTCATCGAACACCAAATGCTTTATACCTTTTTAATTCACTATTTTCAAAATTCCAGCCAAGAGAATTATATCCACCAAGTATTTTATTTGAATTTTCAACCTTAATCATTTCAATACCGAACCCATCTCTACTACCTCTAACAGTTAGAATTTCTGTAATATCATAAGTTGTTGAACTTGGATCAATACAGAAATTTCTGTTGCATGCTTATGGAAGAAGATATAGATATTGATTTTCAAGGAGGAAGTTGAGATGATAATTTTTTGCGAAGAGGTAAAATTGTAGAAGTAATAGGATTATTTGGTGACAAAAGTTTTGCTACCTCTAATGGTTGGAATTTCTGTAATATCATAAGTTGTTTAGCATAGATCAATCCAGAAAGAAATTCAGTTACATGTTTATGGAAGAAGATATGAATATTGATTTTCGAGGAGAAAGTTGAGATAATAATTTTTGCGAGGAGGTAAAATTGTAGAAATAATATGATTATTTGGTGACAGAAGTTTTGTAATAATAATATAACATCTTAAATTTTTTTCAAGAAGTTTTCTATAAGATCATATTTTTTCTAAAACCCTATCACCAGGAAATTGAAAATCTAAAATAAGGCAACCAGTTTTGAAGACTTGATTTTTTAAATTTTGAAATTCTTATTCTATTGTTCATATTAATTAGAAGGTAAATTTGCTGTGTAATATACTGTTAATCTCTATTATGAATAATTTATTTGAACAAGGATCGATTTAATAAATTAATAATGATTGTATTATATTTATCACTGATTTTTTGATTAATGTTGTATTATATTTATCACTAATTTTTGATTAATGTTATATTATATTTATTACTAATTTTTTGATTAATGTTGTATTATATTTATTACTGATTTTTTGAGTATTATATTTATCACTGATTTTTTGATTAATGTATTAATGTGGTCTAAAATAATTATATTGGCTGGTTTTTTCAAATAAGACAGCATCAAAATAATCAATTGATGTCGAGTCTCTTTAACTAAAAATTTGATATCAATAGATAATTTTTAAATATGTTAATTAATATCAATTGATATTGAGCCTCTTTAATTGAAATTTTGATATCAATAGTTTATTTTTTAAATAAGTTGATTAATATACTTTTCATGATTCTGATGTGTTGAAGGCAATGTTTTTTTTTAAATTAATATTGATTATAATTGTTTCTTCAAGAGTAAAAGCAATCAATTTAATGAACCAAATTTCTCTTAAACAACTTATAATTTATAATTCTATTGCACTTCTTTTTCTAGTTTAGAAACCCTTAAATTATAGGTCCACATTGTGAAGATAAAATTTTTGTATGAATCATTAAATATGTATATCGATATAGCGGATTACTCTATAAGCCACGACAATCATCGTTTATTATTGTCTGGAGCAAAGTGAAGGACACAACACCCCAATGTGATTGATATTGTAGAGTTGAACATGTGCTTATATAGATGTTTTTTCTATATGTTTATAGTTGGTTTTAAAATAGACATATTTACAAAGAGAATTTCTATATAATGTGCTTATATAGAGGGTGACTATAGTGAAGTTTGACTGAATCCTCTTTTAATTTATTTTAATTCACAATGCAACATTTTGTTATTCTTTTAGATTCTGCAATATACTCTTTTTTTAGATGATCAATTATATTATCTCCATATATATAAGCTATGTTGATAAATTTCTGAGATTGATTACTAAAATTTTTTAAATAATCAGTACCATCTTTATTCATCAATGATTTTGAAACGATTAGCCACTTGTCAAGTTTATCATTTAAAGTTTTTTTAAAAGTTTCTGATATATTATACAAGTTCATATAATCTTTAATATTAGAAATTATTTCATGCCAGATAATAAGATTATGAGAGAACTCCTTTTTTTCTCTAAAAGAAACTTTAATAGTAGAATTGGTATTACGATATTTCAAGTTTGATATATTAAAATTATTTTTCTTCAATAAATTTATTATTAATGAAAGAAAATCATCATTATTATTATTATTGGACATTGTAATTTATTTTAATTTAAGTATATAAGAGAGTTCAAAGTTAGAAGAATCTTTTACTTTTATATACTACTTTGAAAAAAAAAGCATTTAATACTAGTACATTGTTTTATTTTTTAATTGAAGATATAAAGTTTCAATTGGTTAATACAATACAAAATTTCAAATTTAATGAATCCAAATTGTTTACAATTTAATTAGAATTCTCTCATGAATGTGATAATAGAATTCTCTCATGAATATAATAATTTTCCTAATCATAATTCATAATTCATAATATGAGGGCTGCAAAGGAAACCGAATTTATTATACAATAAATTCGAATTGAAATTTACTTTCAGACCTTATTAAATTTTAGAATCATGCTTTATTAGGACTGCATGACTTATACAAGAATGTATTTAAGTCTAATAAATCATATTTGCTATCTTTATAACTTTAAATTCTGACAGAATTAACAAGCTAATGTGATTTCTTTGATTTTCTAGTGAATTCTAGTCTTGTTACCACTAAAATAATGTATATTCAAAACTTTATTAATTGCTCTGGCAGTATAACATCTGCAACCAAGTTGCTTCATTGATTTCTTTTAGATTTTGTTTTTGGCATTTTTAAATCTAAATAAAATTTGTTAGCACAAAAATTACATAATGAATAAAAAATATAAATATATATACTTACAATTCTTTGACACTATTTTTAATAAAGCATTCATCGACTCCTTTTAACTCTGGTCATGTTATTTCATCAATTTTATTATCCCAAATGTTGTCTATCCAACTTTCAGCTCCTTCAGGAGGATCAAACTTAAAATTAAAATTAAAAAGCACATCAAAGTCTTCCTTAGCTTGTACATAAGTATGCAGAGGAATTAGATATTTAATTGCATACCATGATTTAAGAGGATGATTGGAAGAGAATTATATTTATCATTACATTCAAGCAAGTTTTTCTTTTAGTTGTTCTATATTTGGGAGATGGCTAAAGCCAGATGTGTTTATAATAGAATTCACAGGATTCAGAGTTGATTGAAAAGAGCAATAAGAATATTAATTACAATAAAAAGCAATATGATCGAAAAATACATATATAATTAGATAAGTAATTTGTTTACAAATACATACAAATTGATTATAATTATGATACCAATTAAATATTATTAGTTATTTAAAGGCATTAGT